ATGAAAGACTATCTATACTCCCTACATACATAAAGATTCTCTCCAGTGTGACTTTTCAGATGCTTGCTAAATATAGTTTCTACGAGGAAAAAATCCTATATTCTTCACATTCATAAGGTTTCACTTTTATGGGAGTCCTCTGATGTACAATGAGCCCTGTCTTCCAGTAGTAAAATGCTGTGAACATTGTTTCTTTCCAGTGTGAGTACTCAGATGTAAAGTAAGATGTGACTTTTGGGAAAAAAGTTGTATTACAGAAAGAGTATTACATTGTTCACAATCATAGGATTCCTTTCCTGTGTTGAGTTCTCTGATGTACAGTGAGTGCAGATTTACAGGAGAATATTTTACTACATTGTTCACATTCATAGGGTGTTTCTCCTGTGTGGATTTGCCGATGCCTAGTGAGAACTGACTTCCGGGAGAACATTTTCCTACATTGTTCACATTCATAGGGTGTTTCTCCTGTGTGGATTTGCCGATGCCTAGTGAGAACTGACTTCCGGGAGAACATTTTCCTACATTGTTCACATTCATAGGGTGTTTCTCCTGTGTGGATTTGCCGATGCCTAGTGAGAACTGACTTCCGGGAGAACATTTTCCTACATTGTTCACATTCATAGGGTGTTTCTCCTGTGTGGATTTGCCGATGCCTAGTGAGAACTGACTTCCGGGAGAACATTTTCCTACATTGTTCACATTCATAGGGTGTTTCTCCTGTGTGGATTTGCCGATGCCTAGTGAGAACTGACTTCCGGGAGAACATTTTCCTACATTGTTCACATTCATAGGGTGTTTCTCCTGTGTGGATTTGCCGATGCCTAGTGAGAACTGACTTCCGGGAGAACATTTTCCTACATTGTTCACATTCATAGGGTGTTTCTCCTGTGTGGATTTGCCGATGCCTAGTGAGAACTGACTTCCGGGAGAACATTTTCCTACATTGTTCACATTCATAGGGTGTTTCTCCTGTGTGGATTTGCCGATGCCTAGTGAGAACTGACTTCCGGGAGAACATTTTCCTACATTGTTCACATTCATAGGGTTTTTCTCCTGTGTGTGTTCTCCAATGCATAGTGAGAGCTGACTTGTAGGAGAACCTTTTCCTACATTTTTCACATTCATAGGTCTTCTCTCCTGTGTGAGTTCTCTTATGTACAGTTAGGTCCCGCTTGCTGTAGAATGTTTTCCCACATTGTTCACATTCATAGGGTGTTACTCCTCTGTGGATTCTCTGATGCCTAGTGAGAACTGACTTCCAGGAGAACATTTTCCTACATTGTTCACATTCATAGGGCTTCTCTCCTGTGTGAGTTCTCTTATGTACTGTTAGGTACCCCTTGCTGGAGAATGTTTTCCCACACTGTTCACATTCATAGGGTTTTTCTCCAGTGTGAGTTCTCTGATGCATAATGAGATATGACTTCCGGGAGAACATTTTCCTACATTGTTCACATTCATAGGGTGTTTCTCCTGTGTGGATTTTCTGATGCCTAGTGAGAACTGACTTCCAGGAGAACATTTTCTTACATTGTTCACATTTATAGGGCTTCTCTCCTGTGTGATTTCTCTTATGTACACTTAGGTACACCTTGCTGGAGAATGTTTTCCCACATTGTTCACAATCATAGAGTTTTTCTCCTGTGTGAGTTCTCTGATGCGCAATGAGATGTGACTTCTGGGAGAATCTTTTCCTACATTGTTCACATTCATAGGGTTTTTCTCCTGTGTGTGTTCTCCAATGCATAGTGAGAACTGACTTGCAGGAGAACCTTTTCCTACATTGTTCACATTCATAGGGCTTCTCTCCTGTGTGAGTTCTCTTATGTACAGTTAGGTCCCACTTGCTGTAGAATGTTTTCCCACATTGTTCACATTCATACGATGTTTCTCCTGTTTGAATTCTCTGATGCCTAGTGAGAACTGACTTCCGGGAGAACATTTTCCTACATTGTTCACAATCATAGGTTTTCTTTCTTGTTTGAATTTTCAAATGTCTACTAAAGACTGACTTGGAACAGAAAGATTTTCGACATTTCCCACATTCTTGCGATTTCTCTCCAGTGTGACTTGTCTCATGCACAGTGAATTGTGACTTCTTGAAGAACATTTTATCACATTTTTTATTTTCATAGGATTTCTCTCCCATGTGACTCCTCTGGTGTACAGTGAGGTCTG